CTTTTCTTTTTGATAATCAATGAGCAGCCACTCAGACCCAGCAGTTACAAAGTCACTGTGGATGGGAGGGGGGGGGGTGTGGGTGGGCAAACAGACGGATAAAAGGATAAAGTGTGGCTGTCTGTGTCAAATACTGCCAGCTGTGTATGAGTCTTACCTCGAAGGTCAGTTCTGTGTATGAGTAAGCGGACACCATGGCAACTCTGTCTTGTGCCACACTCTTAAACATTTTTCCAGGCGACCGTGACCTTCTTCCTCCCTCTAACTGTCCCTCTCTGTCTCTGAAGGGATTTTTCAACAGCCCGCCGGTCAATGCACCTATAAATGAGCATGACAGCAAATCTTATGGCAGATGCGCCCAGGTGACAGGCCGGGATTTAAACTGTCAGTTTAAAAAAGCAGTGCCACAGAGGAAGTGCAGAAGAGTGGAGGGTTTTTAACAGTTATAGGGAGAAAATGGTGAATCGAAGTTGGCAAAGTAAATGGAATAAATCAGGGTAAACCATTAAGGTTTAAATGTTTGGGAGGATGTGGAGCAGAAGCAGAGAAGAAAGTGCAAGAAAAGAAATGATACTGTACGTCAAAGACAAAGGAAAAGAGCGGGGAAGGAAAGTAATAAATGAAGGAGACGGAAATTCCTGCACCTGCAGCTCACAGCTGTTCTGAGGTTGCCTCACCCGCAGGAACTGCTTTGCAATGCGTTTGAAAAACAGGGGTTTTATTGACAAGGAAGGAGCTGCTGCTGGTGTGACTGCCAATATGAGAGGGAACAGATGATAGGAGGGAGGGAGGGGGAGGAGGGGGGGTGGATAGGTGTGTTATGGCTGCTTAACGTGGAGGGAATCTTGGCAGCAGACTTGAAAGTCTATAAATAAGTTTCCATCATCCATGACACATGGTTTTCTATTGAGATTGGGTTTTTCCTCCACACCCTGATTTTTCTTTCTCTCTTTTTTTTTTTTTGTCAAATGACTCGTGTTAATTGGGCTTGATTTATCTTCGAGGATTCATTTACTTCAAATGATTTACAGCTCCCACCTCTGGCAGAAAAACCAGGAGATGGAGCTTCTCCTCCAGCCGCCGATAGCTGAGGGTGTAAATCAGAGAGCCTGAAGTCCAGGCCGGAGAACGGCCGCCGTACATCTGACCTGCTGCACAGCTGAGTCTGTTTTTGAGTGTATGGCCTTTCATGAGAAGAGATATTAGTGAGCAGGCACAGGTTACAAAAATAAACCTGTTCTGGAGACATTTTACCAACTGGCATCAGTGTGAGGGGAAAAAAAAAAAACAGCAGGTGTTCAAGAAGCTTAGTGTGTTTATATTTGGGGTGGTTATTGGTAATAATTTTGTTTTTAATAAACAAATGAAAAAATAAGATTGTTGAATTCTCAAATACTTGTAAATATATGCAGTCCCAGTACAATCACCCTGCAACACAAAAAAGAACCAACGCCAAGAATATTTGCATGTTAAAAACAAACAAAATAAGATACAGTGCTGTAGAATATCAGTGTGGTATCATCTGTGTGAGTGTGGTGAGTGAAGAGGGGAGTTAAATGATGTCTTTGTAGGGACTGTTAACCTACACCAACGTCATCTGAGAACAGAAGTAGGAAATTAACCAGTGGTTGAGCCGGTAAAAAAAAATATGAATAACACAAAGGCGGAAAAATGTGCTCCAGCAGCTGAGAGTTGTCTGACAAGAAATACTCAATGAGACCTGTGATGTCTGCTGACTCTAAAGACATGCAGAGATGAGAGAGAGAGAGAGAGAGGACGGGGGGGAGAGAGAGGCAGCGCAATGGCACAGTCTTCCCCAAATGAGCTGTTTGCCTACCACGCTCCAGAGCTCCCCCCGTTGTTGCTGATGTGTTTGGAAATAGCCCCGGTTGGTTTATTTTAAAACAAGCCTCAGTCTGTGCCCCCAGAAATGTCCCCGTCATTAAAGGAACCAACCGACAATTAGTCAAGAGCTAATTTGCACTGATTCAAACGTGGAACATCTTCTTTAATTCAGTCTGCATTAGAGAGAGAGAAAGAGAGAGAATCCAAGGTCCAGGCTGTTGGGTGAGGATGTCCTCACCGCTGCACTGACTCTCAGAGAGAAGACGACCTGCTGGGAATTGTCGCTGAAGTAATAAAGTCAATGTTATTTAAGCAAATGGAGTGGACGAGGACGCTGTAAACGGAGCAGCTTTGTCCTCCTCCATTTAAATAATCATTTAAAGACCTGACTGGCAGAGAATGCTCCTCCAGGTTCCCTCCCCTCTCCTCTCCTCTCCTCTCCATCTCCATCTCCTCCAAAGCTCCACATATTAAAGTCGGATCAAACAAGCGGGTGTTTCTGCCGCTGTGGGAATCACAGCTTTATTAAATAACCCCGCGAGAGTTCACGTCCACTGAGAGCCGTACAGACTGGGTGAAATACCCAGAGACACGACACAAATAACAAGTTAGTCCCCTGTCCTTCTTTTCCTCGTCTCCTCCAACAGCATCACCGCCATTCACTCACACCACCAGCTCTCTCTCTCTCTCTCTCTCTCTCCTCCAATGTGTGCGCACAAGAACAAGCCAAAAGAAACGCACAAGTTGGAGTCTGAGCGGAATATAGATGCGTTCAGCGACAAGAGCCCAGAGCTGTGAGATTTGCACACATCCATCCAGAATCCCACCATGCGCTCTCTCTCTCTGACTTACTCTCTCACCCTCTCACTCCCCCCTCCTTCTCTCATCATGTCATCATCTCTGTTAATGCTCTCCTTCTCTGCCTGCCTCGTCGTTCACATACAGTTTAAACCAAGAAGAAAAACCGTCAAAGACTCTCCTGAAAGTGATCGCTGCAGAATACCAGCCCGAGTGCGCCCCCTTCATTCCCTACTCCCCCTCACCGCCCCCCTAAAAAAAAAAAACACTCCGTGCCACAGATGACAGAGCCCATGAATGGGCGCAGATCTGACCAACACATCCAAGGAGGATAAACTTGCTCCGGCGTCGGATGCGCGCAAAGACGCAGACCAGGAGGTGGAAAACTTGGCGATCCGGAAAGTACGAAGGGAGACAGTGATCACTTTCACTCTCCGTGGACACACACACACACACACACCTTCCCTCGTATTCCCTCTGACAAACACACACACACACATTCCTGCCTCGTACCTGGTGGATGAGAAAAGCCAAGAGGACGCAGAGTCCAGTCTCCATGGTCGGGATTTTAATTTCTCTCGGAGTGAAACGGTAGCACGGATTCAAGACAGGATGATAGAGGCTGGGTCAGCTCTGCACATAATTCCACTGTCCAAGAGCCGGAGAGAGATGGATGTGTGTGTGGACGAGTGTGTGTGAGTGTGGGAGAGAGAGAGAGAGAGTGTGTGTGTGAAACGGAGAAAGAGCCGAACGCCTTTCACCGTACGCCGTCAGCTGCGAACTTCCCCCGAACACAACTGCAGTGTGATCAGCAGAGCAGTGGGGAGTGAGAGAACGAGACCACGACCAATGGATTTATGAGCAGGACCGAGGAGGGAGGAGGGGGAGAGAGAGGGAGAGAGAGAGAGAGGGAGAGAGAGGTGGTGCTGATGGGATAAGGATGGGGTTCACACAAGGTGCAGGGTCAGAAATAGCCCAGGTATAATATGTATTATAATAATTATAAATAAATATGTAATTTCTTGTCAAATTAATTTATTTTGTAAAAACCACAGGTTTGCAACCTGTACACTGACATTTTTATGATTTCACCACTAGATAAAACTCATCATGAGTTCAAATCAGTTTAAAGTTTCAACAACTGTGGTCATTGAACAGAATCCCCAACTCGACTCCACATTATTGATAAAAACAACAACAACAACAACAACAACAACGTTGACCGAAGTGCGGTAGACAACAGTGGCGGTGTACGGTTCACGGTGGAAGCAAAAAAAAAAAAAAAAAAATCGTATGCAGCAACTTATCACGTCGATATTTCATGTAGTCGGATGAACTGCTGAAGCATCGTTTTACCAGGACTTACACACGCGTGATATCGAACCGAACCTTCAAGGCTCAGACCGAACTAATTTATGCATACTCAGTTTATTTACCTGAAAAAGTAAAAAAAAAAACAAAACATCGACTTACCGCCGAAGACCGTTGACGAGTCCAGGCCGCAGCACCGCGATGACGTGTCTTTAAAATATCCGGATTTTTCTTCATTGTTCTTCTTTATGCTCAGTCCATATTAAATCCGGAACCGCATTAATCCTGCACAACACGTGGGTTTTTTTTGTTTGTTTCTTTGTTGTTGTTTTTTTTTTTTTGTTTGTTTGTTTGTTTTGTTTTGGGGTTTTTTTTGTCTTGCCTTTCCGTTGCCCGAGACAGATTGTCAAGGTCGGTGAATCCTGCGGTGACCCAGGGATTGCTGGGAGATCAGGAATCCTTGTCAATCTCAGTAAAAAAAAAAAATATCGACAGCAACAGGAAACTAGCCGCTGAAGTTTAGCCACTCAATGTGGAAGTTATTCTCCTTGTTGATACACCGAAAACCGCCTTTCCTCTCAGTACGGAGCTCTAGTTCTCGGTGATGGCCTGCCGTCCGATTCAATTCAGAGTTTATTAAAAGTATCTCGTGTACAAAGATACTGTATCGTCAAAGTGTGCGAACGCAGGAATCCAAGTACGTTTCGGGTACGTCCCAATCAACGTAGTATTGAGCGCACCTGTGGAGTTACCAAACCACGCCCCTAGATACATATGCAAATATGTTTAAATAGAACAACCCCCTTGACACGGGCTGACCTCTATCACAGAAGAGAGCTGTGGGGGCCCGGCAGGGGGCGTGGGTGAGATTCGTAGCCTCGTTGGTTTTACTTTTCCAAATGTTTTTCTCTTATAGTCTTTTTTTTTTTTTTCCCAGACAAATAAACTTTTTGACAGTGTCCTTCAGCCTAACCACCAGCAGCTACAGTCATAACCTTCACCTCAGAGTTTCCCAAAAATAAATAATCAATTGAGAACCACATGATTATTAAAATGGAGGGAGGCTGATTTGAATTCAACTCTGTGTCGGAGCCAGGGCCTGATAGCGGTGCATCATCATGTGGATTGCTTTTAGTCTGTTTATAGACTCGTTAAATTTAACAAGGCCTTTCAAGCCTATATGTAGCTTTAAGTACCGTGAGAGGACCCTGTGTGTCGGAGGGTACGGCTCAAAGACTCTCACTGCTCACGTAAGCAATGCGGGTTATTTAAAAATTGGAAATTGCACATCATTTGACGTTGGAGTGAAGACATCTCTCGTGTAAGGTTGTAGACTCGCGTCCAATCAGGCATTACTTCCTGTTCTTCACCGAGCAGCCGGCATTTTCTCATCCTGAGCCCAAAGGTCAGGTGTCTACCAGGCAAGCACATTGGTCTTTCCTCGGAGGCGGAGGTGTCAATGAACATATTATAATCACCCTGCAAAGTGCCCTTAACCTCCAACACACACACACACACACACACACAGAGCACTCCAGAGTGAAGGAGACAGATGAGTGTGCTGCACAGAGGAAGAGCAAATAAACGTCGACTGCAGAAATGAGCACAAACTGTATGTGCAGGGTTGTTTATTTTTTCAAATCCCACTGCTACAAAAGTCCTCTCTGCCTCTCTCCACCCCTGCTTCATTACACTGGTGCACGTATACAGTGGCTGTACATGTACTGTTTTGCAGGGGAAATTTTTATTTTTGCAAAAAAAATCTATCCTGAGTCAGGAAAACCCTGGAAAGGTCAGAGGAGTGTGGAGGTCAGGGAGGAGTCAAGAACAGCAGTCATATCCAGCCCATTTGTTTCTGAGTGGAGGTGAAAAATGGGAAGGCAATTGCTGCGACACCAGAGGAATTGCTTTTCCCAGAGTTTCTTTTTTTTTTCTGCCATGTTTATTTATCACTTAAATAAAAGCACGGTGAAAGCTTGAAGCCGTCACTGGTGGAACACAACTTTTCTTCAGCTACGCAGAAGCCAATTGGCTGTGTTCAAATACAACAGCAATTAAAACACAAAGGACAAGATGTTTAAAGTCCTTCACGTCCTGTAAATTGCTCAATTTGGACTCGTGCCCCTATTGACGTAGCCGTCAAACTGCAATGAGCAATTTATACCTTTTCAAAAAATGACTGCTGCAGCACAAATGCCACAGAAGACTTTTTCTTTCTTCCCTTCTTTTAATTTACTTCTATAATAAGGTGTTAGCGCACGGTGGGAAAGTGGACAATAAGATGTTTGACCCCTGGTGGTTGCTGGGTGGCGGTTCCTGTGTCGACTTCTGCGCTCTGACACACTAAACATAACAGGCCAAGTCATGAGCCTGTGCTTTTGTAAAAATGCTCAAAATATTATTGCAAGTGCAATTCAACATTACAGCTTATAACAAAGACTCCACCGGGCTTTTCTTGCGTTGTAATTTTAAAAACAGTCAATCTATTACAGAGATAAAGATTAACAATGGTCTCAACTCGGAATTTTGTTTTGTAAATAAACTTGTTATACTGCATTGCACTTGGAATAATATTTTGAGTGTTGAGCATTGTTGACGTTCAAAACATCTGCTTGGACTAAAGTGAAAATCGAATATAATTTCCTTGTTTATGACGACACTGTTGATGGAACTCTGAGTCAAAACATCCTAAAAAAAGATGCTGGATTTTTTTTAAAAAACATTTTATATTTGTGACTGAAACATGTTCAGTCTCCCAGACGTGTCCAACAGCTTTAACAAATGTTCCTGTTATATCTTTGTGTCACGTTAAGCTGTGTGCTCTGATGAAAAATACATCGGGATCACTGAAAAAATGAAAAGATTTAAAATTATATCTTTGTGTCACGTTAAGCTGTGTTAAAATGAAAAGATTTAATAGAAATTCTCAAAACTATGTGGTATTTTAATGTACAGTAAATCAAACCAGAAAAAAAATTAAACATGTACAGTAAATCGAACCAGAAAAAAATTAAAACATGAAGAGAAGACGTTTTTTTTTTTACTTTTGCCATGGATCGAAGCCACAAACCGAAGCACAAGGAAGGATTTTTTTTTTCTCTCCCTTTTTGGAACAACTTGTTCTGCCAAGAAAGTTTTGTTTTTGGACGCAGTTGTCCGCCTCTCTGTCTGTGGGCAGCGTAGCTCAAACTTTAACGGTGGGTTTTAGGTAGGGGAGCCTTTTGGCAGAGCTCTGCCCCTTCTGAGTGCTGTCTCTGCTTAATATTTAAAATCTGTTCATGCCTCATTTTAGACCCAAGCAGCAGGAGAAGAGAAGGAAATAAACAAAGAAAATGGTGTCATAATTTTTCCTGTGAAAAACTGCGTTCCCAGGAGAGCGGCAGTGTGAAAGCAAGACTTCAAGGGAACCATTAACAGTGAAGATTGTGTTGTTTTTCCGCAGCAATTACACTGTGAAATCACTTTTCACTTCATCGCTGCAACTTCACTATTTCTCCCTCAAAACTTTGTCTCTTAGCGATGAACTCAGATTTTTTTTTTTTTAGTTTTCTTATTTTCTCTCTTGATATATTTCAGCGTCTGCGAGTCTCCGAGAAAATCTGCTCACAAATCCATAAAATAAACTCTTTTACTTTTAATTTTCCATGTAAAAAGGTACTTTTTTTTAACTCTCTCTCTCTCTCTATGTAACTATATATATTTATATACATACATTTTTATATATATATATATATATTTATTTATTTATTTATATATATATTTAAAATAGGAAAACTCTGTTTAATAAACCATAGTGTTATTAAATTTAAATTAAAATGCTGCTCCTTAATGGGTATTCATATTCCGTAATGTAAAAGCCAATGAGCCAAATTAAAAACAGACTGTATTAGTTGTATATATGAAAATACCAAACATTACAAAATCTAATTGGTAAAATAAAGTTTAAATACACTTAACCAAAGTAATTTTGATATTTTTAGACTAAAACTGGACAAACCGACAAACGCTTTAATTGGCAATAACACCTACGTCTTTGACAACGGTTTGTATCAAAACACTATTTTTTACTGTTATTGGTTTGTTCAAGTAACAGGGATTTCTCTCTCTCTCTCTCTCTCTCTCTCTCTCTCTCTCTCTCTCTGAAACCTCGTCATGGTGCAAATCCAGAATGGTTCTGAAACCACAATATAAGAGTGTTTCCAGTTGTTCACATTCATTAGATTAATTATCCATAACAACAACATGATCACACAGGGGACGCGTGCAAGCAATTAGCTGCATTTATCTGATTTATACTACGGGAATTGTCGAGGATAAGGATTAAATGTTATTTACGGAATAATTTATATTATTGACTCATTGTGGATTATTTTATATATATATATATATATATATTTACTTATTTACAAAATGTGACTAAATATTTCTTGAAGGATATTCAGGACCCTAAAAAGACCTGGACCCTCTCTCTTCTCACTCTTCTCACCCAACACTTAGGGGAATTTCTCCCCCCTTGTGGTTGAAATGTAAACTGACTGTTTTCCCCTGCACAGAGGTGACTTCCAGAGCAAAGAGCAGCAGCAACAGGATTTGAGTGGAATATGAAAAATATTCAACAAAAACCACCCTTTTTCCAAAACAATAGAAAATACAAACCACAGATTTTTTAATTACAATTAAAAGTCAACACAATATTTTTACACGTATTGACCAGGTGTGAAATTCAGAGAAAACTCGAAAAAACACAAATGTAACCATTGTCTTTAAACATGAAAAATGTCAGATTTCCCACCATGAAAGAGGAGAAAAAACACCCGATTGTCAGGTTGGTTTCCTCTAAGAAGAAAATGTTCATTCATTTTCGCAGTGGGATAAAGGTTATAGCCGCCTGTGCCAGAACACTTATCATTCCAGAATTGCACTTTTGTACATGATGGTTAACGATGAAAGGCTGTGCTCCTGCTAATTGCCGCCTGCTTGGGTTCACTACCGAGAGAGTGTTGTGTACGACGCACCAACGGAGACAACGCTATGCTAACAATTACAATTTCTCTGCTGGAGAACACAAGTGCTTCTTGGTGGTTCTTTTTTATCTTTCACATCAGAATTACATTTTTTCGAGAAAAAAAAATAAAAAAAAACAACACGGTCCCTGAAAATGAAAATGAAAAACAAACTCTGTTCTCAAACTTAATTAAAACCTAATTTTTATAAAACCAAAGTTGGCAGTGTTTTACTGACTGTTTGAACCAGTGGGTTGTTGTAGAATGCTTTTTGAGGTCCAGGTGTATCCTGTGAGCTGATTGGTTCTCTGCTGATGGCTGTCAGTATAATAAGAACCCAGATCGCCTCAGCTGCTGGGGGAGACCGGGTTCTGACCTGGTAGTTACTCATCGTAGGGATTACGGGAATCGAAGGCAGGTTGTTCTTGAAAACCCGGTGAGACTAAACCCCGAGCACGTCTCCTGGTGAGATAAGACGTCCAATCATTATGTCTCAGTTTCATGTCCTTTGCATGCACGCCCAGGCCTGGCCCTGTGCTCTCATGATCATCACCTCCCAAGGTCACGGCGTGAACAATCACAACACTCCAATCACTTGATTTTTCCCATTCATTTTCAAGCATCCTGATTTGACGCCGTGGGCTGCAGGCAGCGGACTGAGAAATGATGAAGACGTTGAGACAGAGATGAGTCAACGATGGTCTCTGGTCCTGTCACTCAAACTGCAGAATGTGGACCACTCTGTGGACCAACCCATATGGGCTCCACCTACATACAAATACTCATTCAAAGTTTGCAGGTATAATTTAATGGTCTCCTAAAGAGCAGCTCAGCTCTCGCTGCAGAGACGGAGGTTGTCAGAGGAGTGCACTGAGGGGGAGATGGTTCGCCGGGAGGGAGACAGTT